CCTTGTTTATTAACTGTAATACTTTACTTTCATACACCCTTGTTTATTAACTGTAATACTTTACTTTCATACATCCTTGTTTATTAACTGTAATACTTTACTTTCATACATCCTTGTTTATTAACTGTAATACTTTACTTATATACACCCTTGTGTATTAACTGTAATACTTTACTTTCATACACCCTTGTTTATTAACTGTAATACTTTACTTTCATACACCCTTGTTTATTAACTGTAATACTTTACTTTCATACATCCTTGTTTATTAACTGTAATACTTTACTTTCATACACCCTTGTTTATTAACTGTAATACTTTACTTTCATACATCCTTGTTTATTAACTGTAATACTTTACTTTCATACATCCTTGTTTATTAACTGTAATACTTTACTTTCATACATCCTTGTTTATTAACTGTAATACTTTACTTATATACATCCTTGTTTATTGACTGTAATACTTTACTTTCATACATCCTTGTTTATTAACTGTAATACTTTACTTATATACATCCTTTTTTATTAACTGTAATACTTTACTTATATACACCCTTGTTTATTAACTGTAATACTTTACTTATATACACCCTTGTTTATTAACTGTAATACTTTACTTATATACATCCTTGTTTATTGACTGTAATACTTTACTTATATACACCCTTGTTTATTAACTGTATTACTTTACTTATATACACCCTTGTTTATTAACTGTAATACTTTACTTATATACACCCTTGTTTATTAACTGTAATACTTTACTTTCATACACCCTTGTTTATTAACTGTAATACTTTACTTATATACATCCTTGTTTATTGACTGTAATACTTTACTTATATACACCCTTGTTTATTAACTGTATTACTTTACTTATATACACCCTTGTTTATTAACTGTAATACTTTACTTATATACACCCTTGTTTATTAACTGTAATACTTTACTTTCATACACCCTTGTTTATTAACTGTAATACTTTACTTATATACATCCTTGTTTATTGACTGTAATACTTTACTTTCATACATCCTTGTTTATTAACTGTAATACTTTACTTATATACATCCTTTTTTATTAACTGTAATACTTTACTTATATACACCCTTGTTTATTAACTGTAATACTTTACTTATATACATCCTTGTTTATTGACTGTAATACTTTACTTTCATACATCCTTGTTTATTAACTGTAATACTTTACTTATATACATCCTTTTTTATTAACTGTAATACTTTACTTATATACACCCTTGTTTATTAACTGTAATACTTTACTTATATACACCCTTGTTTATTGACTGTAATACTTTACTTATATACACCCTTGTTTATTAACTGTAATACTTTACTTTCATACACCCTTGTTTATTAACTGGAATACTTTACTTTCATACACCCTTGTTTATTAACTGTAATACTTTACTTTCATACACCCTTGTTTATTAACTGGAATACTTTACTTTCATACACCCTTGTTTATTAACTGTAATACTTTACTTATATACACCCTTGTTTATTAACTGTAATACTTTACTTTCATACACCCTTGTTTATTAACTGGAATACTTTACTTTCATACACCCTTGTTTATTAACTGTAATACTTTACTTATATACACCCTTGTGTATTAACTGTAATACTTTACTTTCATACACCCTTGTTTATTTACTGTTAGCTGAATTTTCTCTTGTAAAATTAACAGCATTTAAGGATTTAATGCTTTGTATTCATATCAGAATTTTACAGAAAATACAGATAAAAACAAAGGCTTTGCAAAGCACAGCATTTCTCACTATCCTTCATAACTGAATGATGGTAATTGCTATCAGGTGACCTTGAACTTTGATCTTCTTATAGTATAGGATTCAGTCTCTCCCCCTTGTAAAGTTGAGGACATTATTTGATGCAGACTAAATGCAAGACTTGAAAATAATGAAAATTTTCATCCACTTCCCAAGAAGCCCTGTCCTGTTAAAGTGAAATGGTCTTCACTTTATAATTCTAGATCAAAAATGAATAAAAAACTTATTCCTAAATATGTTCAGCTCATAAACAAAAGCACAACAATTATTTGGCTTACCCTTCTTTGTGGTTGGTGGCTGATATTTGGTGTAATCAAATCAAAAATACCTTACAGGAAAACATATTTACTTCCTAAATGAAACCATATCTACTTTAAAATGTTTATTTCATTAAGGGATGTCCATCATTTTGTGTACTAGAGTGTTATACCAAGCAATCCTCAGGTCTTCACTCTATATAATCAAATTTGATCCTAATAAGAATACGTTACTTTAAAATCCATTGATCCTTCAGTAAAGATACATTTATTCTTATGACAAAGATCAATTATGTGTTGATAAATTAGAATGTTTACACTCTAACTTTCAAACTCCTGGTAAAACTCAATTAAAATAACATTGTTTTCTTAAAAATATCTCAACAATTTATATGTTGTATGGGATGATACATTTTTGGTGTGATACTGGCTGCTGGACATAACGAGTAGACACTAACAATTCATTTTTGTTTTATACATTGAGAGTACATATCACTTCATTCTTTAAATACTATCAACAAGTATCATAATTATACCCTGCTCAGGTCATTTTGTAGGAAGGAAAAGTTTACATGGTCTATCAGTTTGTGTTCAAGGTTATCAAATTCATGTCAAAGGTCAAAGTTTCCTCAAAAATAAAATACTCTTTTTTTCTCAACCAATCAAAAACATTAAAAGCAATGAAATTGTATTAATGTCTAAGATGTGATGTTAACATTCATTAAAAAAATCAAACAAACTCTACATGATGATTATGTGACTAATACCTAAAATATCAGTATTAAAAGGACAATACAACAAAATGTAAACTCTATTAAACAGGTACCCTATTATACTGTATTACTTTTACGTTTAATATTTGTACACTCTGAGCAATATTACTCATTGATTTTCCTAATCTCATTACAATTCATGCAATTAGTTCCTGGATTTTAGCAATGAAATAAAAATATCTATATTTTAGCAACTGCATGAAAATGATATGAGTAAACAATATATTTACAGATTTATCAATAATTACCATTCCATATGATAAAAAAAAACTGCTGCAGCAGGAGCCATGATATACCTGTCTGCAGATCACTTATGGTGGACATTGTATGTAAATTTTTTACAAGAGTGCACACTGAAATGTCTTGCCTGCTTTACTAATTATGATCTAATTACATATCATAAACCAAATATAGTTAGCCTATGGCTTATAGTATCTGAGAAACAGACCTAATTAGGAAAATTGAACATTGACCAAAGAACAATAAAATTAAAGTCAAGGTCAGTTGAACCCTGCCAGACAACATATGCATGCAATCATTCCATACACCAAATACAGCTGATCTATTGCTTATAGTATCTGAAAAACAAACAAAACCACGAAAACATAACCATGATAATGAGGTCAAGGTTAGATAAAAACTTCCAGTCAGACATGTACACCTTACAATCATTCCATACACCAAATATAGTTGAATTATTGCTTATGAGAAACGTACTTGAACATGAAAACTTTACCTTGATCACTCATCCATGAAATGAGGTTGAGGTCAGGTGAACCCCATCTAACAGACATGTAGACCTTGCAAGGATGCCATATACTAAATATAGTTATTCTATTACTCATAAAAGCTGAGTATTTCACATGACAAAAAACTCTAAAAAAAATTTTAACAATCACTGAACCAAGAAAATGAGTTCAAGAACAATGGACATGTATGACAGATGAAAACTTTGTAACGTAATGCATCTACATACAAGGTATGAAGCATCAAAGTCTTCTAACTTCTAAAATATAAACCTTTATACAAATAGTTTATGATTTTGCCACCTCTACATCACAGGGGAGACAAAAAGTAACTGAATAAACAACAGTGTCCAAAATGTTCATAAAAATAATAAGAGCATACTAAGAGTTATTGTGAGACACAACATCAAAATCAAAAGGGAGCTAACTTTTCATTAGTTGTGTCATTGTTAAAAAATATCCATGATTCTGTGAAAGGTGTAATCTGAAGATCATCAGATGAATAGGAGCAAACTTTCATTAGTTGTGACATTGTTAAAAAAAATTATGGGATTCTGTGGAAGCAAACTTGTATTATTACCCGACATGAAAAATTGCCAATTGTAGTCCCATAACCCTGGAATAAATAATAGAATAATCAATAAATGTATTTGTATCTATGAAACCTAGTGTTGTATAAAATATCATTAAGGATGTGTAAAAGCATACAGACGGACATAAAATAGTATAACATAATATGTACATCTTTGACAGTCATATGAAAAATTAAGCACTTCAGAACCAGGAAATTCCATAATAGCCATGCACACTTATGTCTTTACTGAGCAGCTGTCAGTAGTAAAATGGTATGTTGCTGTATAGGGTTTCACCATAATATTCTAAAGACTTCCAGACATCAAATGTAGTTTTACATTATATCTTTATATGAACAGGCATAGAATAGAGTCCATGCACCTTTATCAGTTATAGAAATTCACTGTTATTAACTGCATAGAAAATTTTCATTCATTATGAAATCAAACTAAGATTTGGTGCATAATATATATGTAGCAGCAGAATTCAAGATGATGGATTAACGGAGAATATTTTCATACAAAGTTCTATAATTAGAATGCAATACTTTGATGTGTATGTAATGATTTATAAATCAAGCAAGACTTATATAAATTTTGCAGTAAATATAAGAATTCTTTCAAAAACTTTTTAAATTGTTAGCTCTACAAAATATATAAACAATAAAAGCTTTGCAAAATATAAATCTTGCAGCACAGTGTATAATATTACTTCCAAATTCAAATCAAATTTGGGATAATAAAATTACAAACAGATGTCGACAAATCTTTACAATAGTATAGTTAATGACTACAACAATCTAGCTATGATAAGCAATGAAGGAACACAGTAATACTAACTTGATCCTGTGTTGGTGGGGAACCAACCAAGTGTGTATAACGAGACTGGTAAAAATAAAACAAACAACAATTAATAACATTCCTTATATAAATGTTATTCTATTTAAATGTGTAAACATAGCTCGGAAACAACTTATGTACACAAAACAATTCTGATATTTGGTGTATGTGTGTTCTTGGATTGCTGCCTCGATAATGTTAAGCCCAAAGCTCTTCTATTCATAAATCTTTAGGTTTATGCATAAAAGACTAATGCATGCATTTTGATGGAATATCACATAACATAAGTCTTTATGTAAACTAATAAAAATGTTAGATCAAATGTACTGTTTTCTTTTAAGAAAATGTGAACAGTATGTATTATGATAACACAAAGCCACTGCTAGTTATAATGTCCAAAGTAACAACTGCACACCAAGATCAGCTTAGTTTAATGTCTACCAAAATATGGAAAAAAATCTGGACAAGTACAATTTTTATTAAATTTTTGAAGTACAATGGTTTATTTCCTCGAAGTGAGTCAGCAGGAATGATATGAAAGTCCATCTGCAGCTCATCAATATACAGCTTAATGACAGAATGTCAATATCATTTAGTTTAAAGGAAATACCTTTGTTACAATAGATGTTCAGAGCCAGTGACACAATTTATCATGATCATGATCAGACATTAAAATTAACAAATTTCGATATGAATTTACCAAAAACTCTTGATAACAATAATTAATTATGACAATAATATAACTGCTTATATCAGGTCAATAAATCTGTGTAATCTTCATCATTAGAACTTTAAGGCATCATGGTCACATTCGTGTCTTAACCAAGAATTATTAACCCTCAGTAATCACCCCTGGGTATTAACATAAAGAAAAGCTTTTCTGGACTGTATTTTGTTAGCACTTTAAAGCTACATCTGAACAAAAACAGGTATTGTTTTGTAAATAAAGTTTATTACTGTCTTAAACCTCTGCCAGATATTACTTATTTTCCCCCGAGTCTTTTTATATTGAGGGTGAAATTTGCAAAAAAATGTCATTAATTGTAAGGTAGATCTATTTCAAAATTAAATGACAGTGCAATAAAAAATGGTGCTACCTGTCTTTGAAACTATGGCAATTCTAATGTACAAAAATTAATTGTTTGGTTAAATGAAACATCACAAAAGTCACAAACGAAAACGTAAACAGTAAAATATTTGAAATAACTTCAATGAATTGATACTTTACATTATTTTTCTGAAAAATAGTGTTTTTACAAATTAACAGAGGAAGGGTAAATACCCTTATTAGGGATGCTCTATACAAGAATCTTTCCAAAATGTATAGCCAATCATATTAACACTTAAAATTGGTTGAATGTTCTGATTTTATTCTAGTATATCATCTGCCAAAAAAAAAAAGGAAAATACTCAGCAATTTTCACTCAAACAAAAAATGTTATTGGAGTGCAGGTTAAATCAATTTGTATTTCACATGTGAAGTATCACTTGCAAAGTTATAAAAAAAACAAGAAACTAAAACTTTAAAACGTGATTCCTTCAAAATAACAGACTTAAAAGAATTTGGAGGCACTTTTAGACAAAAACATCTTTTTTTTTTTATTATTAAAATAGAAAACTACATTAAAATTTGAGATACATGTATTCATTGTTTAATAAATGAGTTGCACAACTGACAAAGTAGTTACACAAAATTGTGAAAATACCATATAAACTTCTGCAAGGAAATGCAACTCATTTAGAAATAAACAATGAAAATTGTATTCTATAATACTCAGACTTGTTAACAAAAGTGCCTTCAAAATTTCATTGAAACTTATCAATACTTAACTTTGAGTAGCGCCAACACTACAGTAATTTATATTTTACTTTTGTTTTGGAAATGTTGTTTCAAGAAAAGTAAAAGAAGATTATTATGTCAAAGGACAAATTTCAAATTACTATTTACTTATTTAGACATTGTTTTAATTATAATTCTAAATGATCTAACATTTTGGTTGTCCTGAGCATGCATGAAATATTTGCCACTGGACATTAAGCAACCAACAATCTATCAATCTCATATATTGAAACTTATTTAACTAATGTGAATAGGAGAAAGAATTTTTCTATATCACTTATATTTCTTTAATGAGATGTTTAAATGCTTCTGAAATCTTTATATGAATATAATAGAAGATATAGAGTTTTAAGAAAACTAATTTCCCATCATATAAGAAGAAAAGCATTCTCTAATCGTGTGCAAGTCTTCCAAGGGAGACATGTGTAGCTTGCCATCTCCAAATTATATTTAATAGCGGAAATAATGGTCCATAATTTTGGTATGAGAAAACCAATATCCTTTAGAAAATTCTGTAAGTTTGGTGAAATCTGTCTAGCCATTTTCAAGGAGCTTAAAAAATATTGTGTGCAATGACAATTTATCGTATTCAAATTGTTGAATGACATTTGCCATTCTACTGTTTCTGTAGTAGTTACTGTTCCTAGAAAGCAATACATATGCATTACTTTTCTGAAATGTTTGATGTGTATAATTTTGTTTTTATAACCTGAACATACCAGCAATGAATCTGTTGGTGGACTGGCTGCCAGATAAAAATCATTGACATCTATATCCATTGCTGAAAATGAAATAAACCTTTAATCAACTTTTGTTTGTTGGGTTACAAATTTCACAGCTTTTTTTATATGATTTAAACATTCAATGCAAAATAAGAGAATTAGATCAATGTTAATAAAGCACTATAAACATGCATTTTTTTTTTAGCTAAATTATCTTTTCTCAAGATTGTCCCAAACAATTTGTTTTAAATTGTTATTGCTACAAACCTTTGTGTTTATATGATATTAAATCTATATGGGGCATTTGACTTCACAATTGGAAAATTGAAATCATCTCTTCCATCAATCTGTGGTGTCCCTAATTTCAAATTCAATTGGATAGATCAGATCTACATAGTGAAACATGAATTTAAAGGATAATGTTTCTTTTGCTTCTTCTTGAGAAGCCTATCATCACTTGTGAAGTGAAGTGAATAAAGAAACAAGTTGGTGAAAAGATGAGCACAGTTGGTCCACCCACATTACAAATATGTTGTGAATAAAAATTAAATCAAGCATCTTGATGATGTCAGTTTCAGAGAACCTTTTCTTTTAATCAAATTATTTTGTAATATGATTTGTTCCTATCTAAAACAAAATATTTGACTCTATGTTGGATTTTTTTTTTTGAAATATGTTAAGACTTATTCCAGAAAAAAAGTCTTTAAGTTTAGAATTGTTACCTGTGTTAAGGGTTAGGAAGATATTTTTATACTATAGTATGAGATATGAGCCCTAGTGGTCATGGCTTGGCATTTTGTGCTTTCTTTGTTTAAACCAAAACTTTTAACTAGGTGTGACTAAGTTAAAACTATTGATTTGGGCCTTGCATATAATTTACAATTTTCCTAAAAATGTTGTTGATATTTTATCATCGACTTCTTGTAGTGACTTTGTGTGGTGTGTGTTACTTATAAGTATCTTGACGTCTTTTATAATATAGTACAAGATGATTGACTTAGTTCTAGTAGAGACTTTGTGGGGTGTGTTACTTACAAGTATCTTGACGTCTTTTATTATATAGTATGTTATGATTGACTTAGTTCTAGTAGAGACTTTGTGTGGTGTGTGTTACTTACAAGTATCCTGACGTCTTTTATTATCTAGTATGAGATGATTGACTTAGTTCTAGTAGAGACTTTGTGTGGTGTGTGTTACTTACAAGTATCTTGACGTCTTTTATTATCTAGTATGAGATGGTATGCAATACTAAGTTGATCATATGGATCACCATTCAACAAGGCTCTCTCTACTTCTTCTTCACTTACATCATATTTCTGAAGAAAAAAACAAAAACATTTCAATAGGAATGACAGTACTGAATCATATATGCTGATGTGTGTTCCCTGTAGGTCAATGTTAAATTTTAAATTCATCTGCTCAATTTGAACCGTAGTTATTCATTTATAAAACATGAGTTCAGCCTACCAACTTTCATGGACATGTTACTATGAAAGATATGCATTATTTACATGTTACTTTAATTATTCTTCCCTTAGTTTATTTATTTTGTATTTACATTGTATCATAGATCAAATTTATTTGTTCAGTGTATGTTCACTGGTGTTAATATGTCTTTTGATTGATTTAAGCCATTTCAATTGATATTTTATAGTGTGTCTTTCTATGTTGTGATGTTATACTATTGTTTCAGATAAGGGTGAAGGTTTGGTACCATTAAAACGTTTAAACCCGCTGCAATTGTTTGCACCTGTCCTAAGTCAGGAATCTGATGTTCAGTAGTTGTTGTTTGTTGATGTGGTTCATAAGTGTTTCTCGTTTCTCGTTTTTTATATAGATTTGACCGTTGGTTTCCCCGTTTGAATGGTTTTACACTAGTAATTTTTGGGGCCCTTCATAGCTTGCTGTTCGGTGTGAGCCAAGGCTCCGTGTTGAAGACCATACTTTGACCTATAATGGTTTACTTTTATAAATTTTGACTTGGATGGAGAGTTGTCTCATTGGCACTCATACCAAATCTTCTTATATCTATTAACAAATATATTTACCAAGATATTTTTTCCATCATATCCAAATAACAAAAATCTCCAAAATAGCAAGTTATTTTTTTTTAATTTACCTCAGGCTAGCTAACATTTCCCAAAAGCGTATTAAAGAAAAAAAATAATTGCACTGAGCCATTTTTCACTAATAAAAAGCTTTACTTACTATGTACTATCAGTTGTGAAGTGCTTTATATTTCCCTTACTGTATTAAATTTGTTAAATATGCATAAGATGATGTATTTCATAATAAAAGCCGATTCTTTGGCAAATACAATGGTGAATAATGAAATTGTCATAATACTCACCACACACACTTCATATATAACTTCCATATCTACAATGGATGCATCTTGTTCATGTGGTGATGGGAATAAATAATCTTGTAGGTCTTTCTTAAACCAATCATGCTCTCTGAAATAAAATCAAATTTATTTTAATTGAGTTTAGTTTAAACATATCTTATTGTTTAAAAAGGACAAACAGATTAGACAAGTTTTCAACTTAGTAATGTCTTCTCCAAAATTTAAATTGAATGAAAAAGTCCCCAGACTTAAATGTTCTATGAAAGTTATACAAAGCTATTTTTTGGGACTTTTAGCATAGGCAATTGTGATTTGTTCTAACACTTTATATCACTAGACAAGAATAAAACGTAATGAGTGTTCTTAGGTATTTTGGTAATGCGGTATAACATGTAAAGTTACAGACCATTTCTTATGAGGTATTTTTAATAACAGTATTTGCACTGAAATAATAGGTAATTTAAGACTTCAGTTTTGCCATTAAAGGTAATCTCCACTGCAGTTTCATTACTTTTAAATGTTTGTAATGTATGGAAATTATTACATGGATACATAAAAAAAATTCTGTGTCGATGAAAACTAAGATTCCTCAGTAGAAAAGGTATGAACTGACTGATGCAAAAACTGTAATCTGAAAATGTACGTACCTGATTTGTGCTGTTGTAGCTCTTTTGAGTGGATCTACTTGTAACATAATACACAGAAGTCCAACTACTTCTTTGTTAAGATAGTCAGGGACAGCAAATATACCAGCTGTAAAATAAATCATCAATAGTCATTTCATCAACCCATGTTAATCTCTCCTATGAGTTATATCATATAATGCACAAAAGTTAATCAATTTTATGAATATAATATGGTAGTATGGCTAATCCTGATTGGTAGATGTGTGCAGCCGTTATTTGTTATTACTAGACACTTTGTTCACTCTGCATTATACCACAGGTCAAATAATTTATTTTCCTTACCCTTTAAGGAACTGAGAAGGCTTTTCTACGCTGTGATGACACACATATTTTTAAGAGCAGAATTGATAGACAAGGGAGATAGTACAAATTGCATTAAGAAAAGCAACAGGAACCTATATTTTTTGGACAATAAACACTGTCCTTATAATTTTTCTTTAAATCCAGCAAGATTTGTTCCAAAAATCATCTTTCTAAAGTCTGTTTCTTGAAAAAGGCTACTATTGTCTCCTATGGGGAAATTAATTGTTTTATGCAGTCTATACCTCAATTCCTATAACATGTATATACATTTTCAAGTATTCATGAAAAACAAATACACATATATCTGTTTTTAATTAAAACAGTTCCATGACAGAATATCTTAAATCCTCCATCCCTGTACAAATTTATACAGTGTACCATTTTACACAAAACTTTCACAATTAAAAAAATTAAAAAATAATTTCGCATAAAAATTAAAAGGGCGTGATACTGAACACCAATTAAATACTATTACTTTTTATATTTTCATTTGAAATAAACATTATTCCTCTTTATTTTTTTCATTTGAGATAAACACAACTTTTCAATTAAACAAATTTTAAATCTCTACCAAAATTTAATTTCACACAAATATGCAGTAGCCAAAACTGATAATGTTGTCTGCTTTAAAAGTTTCAGTCTCTGTTAATAAGAGTCATTAATTTCACAAGCTACAACTTTTCTTCCTAGTAAAACATTCTGTTGAATTATATGAAGTTACCTCCCTTATGCTTTATTTATCTCCTTAACCAATATACAAATAAATAATCCACTTACATTTGATTTTTCTAAACAATGTTGGAACATGTTCATCATCAAACGGCAACTAGAAATAGAATCATATATTAATAATTGTTCTGGAGAAAATTCAAACACATAAGATTGATCTATGTCTTCTTTAAACATGTAAACAATGAATGCAAATTTTAAAGCAAAACCTGTTTCTCAGATGCTTTTCTTGTATGTTAATCTGATTGTTTATCTATGTAAAGCATCTTAAGTAATTCAAGTTTGTTGTTGGTTTTAAAGAATTAAATATTTCTTTTTAATTGGTTATTTTGCTTTCAAACTTCAATCAAAGTGCTTGTAAGCACAGAAGGGTAAAGATTGCTTTAATTTATCAGTGGGAAGTAATATTAAACAGCGCATTGTATAAAGCATTGGTTGTAGTTGATTCAACTACAATTATGGACAACGGATAACTCCAATTTAAAGATTACTTTAACACTGACATCATTGATATTTTTAGAACATATATTAGATTCCTGCACCTTGCAAAAGTTATGTTATTGTCTTGACCAGTATAACATCATTTTGTAACTTGAATATCGCAGCATATATTTCATTGATAAATTTCTAATGTTCATGGATAGGATGTACAGAATGTTATGATCAATGTACTATATTTTGTGTATGTCAAAAGTAGTGATAAACCTTGGAAGATTTAGATATCAAGTCAGTACCATAGTGTTTTGATTGCATTTCATGCAATCTTTACCCAAAAATGAACTTACTGTTCCACACAATAAAGCATACAAGATGACACCACAACTCCAAATATCTACTTCAGGACCTGCATACAATCTGAAACAAATTATAAATACTGAAAAGTTGTAAACATATGAGGACAACCAGTTTGTATTGTGGGATTATTAATCATGTTTATCTATTACTACATGCTGTATTTAAATATTGAATACTATTGTAGTGTTGGGGTGTAAAAACATTTACCAAAACATATTTTGAATGATACACTTTCTACTAAAAATGTGTGCATAGTGAACTATATTCACAACCCTACAACACTACAAAAAAGAAGCATTCATATCTTCATATAATTTATATTTTAATGCTTAAAACTGAAAAAAACAAGTTTAAACTTATCATTTTTTTATCTTTATTTTAAATGTTCCTATGCATGGTTATAAGTTGCCATGGAGAGTATGTGCTGTCATGGATATTACCTTTTTATTGGAAAATAAATATCAGCAATGACAACTTAGTAAATAATTATACTGCCTTTTGTCTATTTGTACATACAACATAGATATATATATCTTACTTTCCTGATATGACTTCTGGAGCAGCATAATTAGGTGAACCACAACTTGTTCGTAAAAATTCTCCATCCTGCATCATATTTGACAAACCTGTAAAAAATGTTTTACTTCTATATAAGAGGAACAGAATATATGGTGTATTGATACATGACATAAAATCTCTAATAATAGATAAAAAATATTGTTGTTTAAGGTAGATAACTAACTGGAAGTGTTTAACGACCTTGACTGGATGTACATCCCTCGCACGGTCGGCTCAGTGCCCGAAGGCGTTTGGTGAGCATAAAAATATTTTCTGCAGTGGGTCAGGAACAGGTGGAAGACGCCATTTTGATAGGTCGCCATCTTGGTTTTGCTGAGTTGTTTTTGGTTTGTTTACTATTTTGTTGTTTTTTTACAGTCGAAACTCCACAACGGCTGTTTTCAGGGCCAGGTTGATCAGCTGGGCAGCCCACTAACCATGACGATGTGTTGTTGGTAGATGAATCATTGACTCTGTAGTAGATGACTGCAACCTGCACGAAGCTTAATACACATAGCCCTCGGACGTCTGGGCAGCATGTGACACTCACCCATCCACAATGGGTTTCAGAGTGTCGCTAACGCGGGTCTACTTGTAAGGTAACATCATAAGCTAGTTTGTCGTTGAACCATCTGGGCAGCGTAACATGTTGTAGCCAACGGGTAATCAGGAGCTGATCCAGCACGTCCTTTCAGCTGTAGTGACTGAGACGTGACTGTTAAGGTAGATCGGGTGTCTTCCTTCATCTTGGATTTTGAAAGAACAGATAACAATCGGTCTAGATCTTTAATGCAATTTGCAAATTTCGAGAGTAGTATGTACATGATGTAAATCATGTGTAAGACTTTTCATGTTGATATAGAAAATTATGTGTTTTATCATATTTACGGCTGTATTATACAAAAATCAAATTATTTTTATTTTATTGATTTTTTTTTTAAATTTTGCCATATAAGGGTAGATAACTCAGATATAAGGGGAGATAACTCGATTAAGTAACTTTTATAATAGAATGTGTTGTGAATTTACCAATTTTATTATGTAGCAAGAAAACGAGTCTTGCGACCCCATTATTTCTCTTTCTTGTCTGAAAGCATATTATTAGAGCTATATTCTCATATTTTATCTTAAAAGTCTATGGTGTAGTTTTCTTTTTTCACCCAAATTTTGGTTTTCCATGCATAATCTATACAAACTCTGACAATTTTTCTCAACCGTAGCGTGAAAAAAAGCAGGGTGACCCTTACTTTTTATTACATTTTTTATAAAAAGCATGATATAAACTACATTTTGACAAATTATCAAAAAATTCTATGGATTTAAATTAAGACCCCCCATCTACCTTAATCTTGTTTTACTTGTTTCTCAACTTATGTATTATACTGTTCATATAAAACTGTAATAAATAATCATTTCTGATGTATATTTCAAGATAAGTGTATGAAATAAGCACATCTAATGAGTCAAGACATTTCTGATGTATATTTCAAGATAAGTGTATGAAATAAGCACATCTAATGAGTTAAGACATTCCAACTGATTTTTACGGTTTGTTCTTATGTTGTGCTGTACATGTAACACCACTGTTCCAGGTTATATGTGCCTGTCCAAAGTCAGGAGCTGTTATTCAGTGGTTATCGTTAGTTGCTGTCTGTCAAGTTTGTTTTTTCATTTGATGGTTTGTCATAAATCAAGATTTGCAGCTATGACATGCATGCAACTTCTCAACAAATTCATATAAACTTAAGTACAAGAATAAAGTCTTAAGTACTTCTCCTTACCAAAATCAGCAATCTTGACATTAAGTTTATCATCCAGTAATAAGTTTTCTGGTTTCAGATCTCTATGTACAACCATGTGTCTGTGACAGTATTCTACTCCTGATATTATCTGCTGGAAAAATCTTCTGGCCTCTGGTTCTTTTAACTAAATTAAGTAAAATTGCAGGCATCCTGAATTAAGCAAATCAAAAACACATGAGATACATTTTTTTTTAATTCTTTTGTTGTCTATTGTAAATGACTGTGGAGTTAACACAAAGACAGTTATAGGTGAGAATGACAGATATACTGTCAACAGCAACTATGAATTCATTATTATACATTAATACTAAATTTCCAGGATTTCCTGGGTTATAAAGGTGAACCACAAACTTAAGTGTTCATCAAAATACAGATTCCATATTGTACACAGCTTGTACGGTTTGTATTCAGAGTTTGTTAAAATCACAAAATCAAGCATTCAGGATTAACAATTTTTCCTTCATCTACAAAATGAAACTACAGTATCAATAAATTCAATCCTTCTTCAGAACATTTACAAACTTTTTCATATGATAATCTAAAACAATCACTTTGTGTTCTTCTCACATAAACTGCTTTGGGTGTGTCTCATACCACATAATGTATTTTCAGTAGCAGACTACTAACAGTACTTATTAACTTATTATAACTCAATAAAATCTTTTTTCTTTAATCAGTAAAAAGAATGTCACACATACTTTAACCTTTGACCTACTTCCAACTCCTACTAGTAAACTTATCATATACCTTAAAGTATCAAATACAGACTTAGGTGATAAGCTGCTGCCTTATTATAATATGAAGTAAAGACAAACAGGAAGTATCACCATTGCTATTCATTTAAGGTTCATTAGATTTACATATTGACAGAGAACCAGTTTTTCAAATCAAGATTTTGAAATCCACGAGACAGCTACATGTACCTTAAAAATCAAACTAAAAATACATGAAATCCTCCAAGACAGCTACATGTACCTTAAATATCAACCTAAAATTACATGAAATCCTCCGAGACAGCTACATGTACCTTAAATATCAACCTAAAATTACATGAAACCCTCCGAGACAGCTACATGTACCTTAAATATCAAACTCAAAATACATATGAATTCCAAATATATGCTTATATTATTATTTGTATACATTTGTATTTAAAAAGCTTCATGCAAAGAGTTATAATACATTTCCACATGCATCCATGTAATAAACATGATTAAAATTGAACCATTATCATGATTATGTTTAATTGTTCTTAATTCTCATCCAAATATGAGTGCAGATTACAGGTACTAATAATTACTTATAATTTGACCGAATAAATCGGTTTTAATAATGTGCCATCTGAGATTACAGATAAAGTAATCAAACAATCCCCACTACTGTTCAAATAGTGTAGTTATTTTATTAGAGTGACACACAAGTTAAGTAAAGCAATCACCAATCAATGAATCTATCACAAGACCTTCATCAGTCTATCACTCAAATGTTATAATCCACAAAACACCACTAACCTACATACATTTTGCACACAACACACCAAAATTATGGAAATTTTCTACTTTAAAATAATTGAAACAGCAGCATCTACATGTACATTTGTATTTTGAAATTTCTACATACTGCTGTCAAAATGTGTATTTTTTCATTAAAGGATCAAAAATTGTGAATACGAATAATTTATTCATAACAAGCCTATATGGTGCAATAAAGAAAAGGGAGATAATCCTTAATATTTATACTTACTTTTCCATGTTTGACAATGTAATCAAACAATTCACCTCCTCCCACATATTCCATCACCATGAATATGTCCGTAGGAGTACTTATCACCTGGTACCTGTTAGAAACAGGTTAAATTAGCAAAAAATGCAGTGCTATTATATTATATCTAAAGGATTTGTCTCAAAATGCTTTTTTAGACTTTCTGAACTGACTACATGTGTTTGGTTTGTAATACATTGTTTACATTGATTATGACCAAAAGTTATACTCACTAATGAGCCATGTATCTGAATCATAATTCAAATAATAATCATTTTAATTTTTAAGTCTGCTTCAAATTTTCCAACATTGTTCAAACTTATTTCCATATTTGCTTCCGAAAGTTGAAAGAAAAACATTTTGAGACAGTCTCATATCTAGTGCTTTAGACTTACTTTGCCTTTCTTGACAATATAATCAAAGAGTTCACCGCCAGCCACATACTCCATAACCATAAATATATCTGTTGGGGTACTCATCACCTGATACCTGAGGTTTTATTACGCAAGAAAAATTACCATCAAAATAAATACAACCAAAATTTGAGTCAAATTACTTTGGTTTTCCAAATTTACAAGGAATGTTTGAATAATGAATTCTAACTACAGGTTCCAAAAAAAAATACTTTCCAGAATAAAGGTTAATGAATGTACAAAAGCTGAAAGGCTTGAAAATAAACAGGGTTTTAAGTATATTTGAAAAAAAGTACACAAATATATTAAAAAGATTTCTATTATATCTATAATTTACTTCAATTTAATTGAATAATATAAAACTTTAATGAATTACATAAATTTCTAATTATTCTTTCTGTAAATTAAAGTCCATGATCTTATAAAATACAAAATAAAAATTAGAAAAAAACAACATTACAGGTGATTCCATCGAAGTCAGATTGTCTCAATGTCAAAGGCATCTAGGTAAATTAATATTGAATAGGACAACCAAATACAACTGATATATCATTATTAAATGGTCCCACTTTGAAAATTTTCCTCTGTTTTTGTTTCCAAATGGGTGAATGATATCACAAGATATTTTGTCAGCAATGACTGACATTGACCATTATACATGTTATATGTAAACTTTCAATGGTTGTTGCTATTAAGAAAATAAAAGAAATTCAACAGAGAGATCACAAATATATCTTTAAATAGTTATATGAAGGCCATTGAAGGGCATCCCAAAATAAGAGCATCCCTTGGCAACTGGAATATATCCCACATACCTTAACAGACTGTTTTTTTTTCCACAGAATGTTAACATTTTACCATGATCTTTATATATGAACTAGATATTCATAAAGATTCAACATATTCTACACGTACTTGGGATAACCATTGCAAAGCAATTTCCGATATAATTAATATTTCCAAGTGGCATAACTCTTTTAAAAATATTTGATCACCACTGAGTTTCGAGTTTATTCACGACATTGCTGATATAAACCTTCAATAAAAATCTGGAAAAAATTGTACATGTGAGAGCACTTACAATGCAATTTTCCATAAAATTAATACTTCCAAGAGGCATAACTCTTTTAAAAATAATTGATCGGCATTGATTTTCAAATTTCTTCAAGACATTGCAGATATAAACCTATGATATAAGTTTCATAAAAATCTGGCAAGAATTGTACACATGTGAGCACTAATAATGCAATTTTCCATATAATTAATATTTCCAAGGGACATAACTCTTTTAAAAATTGTTGATTGGTACTGATTTTCGAATTTATTCAAGACAATGCTGATATAAACCTTTGATATAAGTTTTATAAAAATCTGTAAAGAATTGTACACGTTTAAGCACCAAAAAGACTGGACGGACACCCAGTATTTCTATGTCCCCCACAACGTGTCACGTGGGGACAATAAAGATGGGATTAAAATATTTGTGTATTGAAGATATGTTTTTATATAATAGGCAAATATGAATCAAACCCAAAAAGATATACCTTTCAACTTTAAAATCTTTTTAAATAATACTACCAGATGACCTTGACACTTGAGCTTTGACTGATACCAAATAAGGTTGAAAAACACAGTGCCAAGTTTGGTGAAGATAGGAAAAGGTAGGCTCTACACTATTCACAACCATTTCAATAAAGTCAATAAGAGATTACATTATTTTGATTTTTCTTGTATTTTGAATATAGATGATTTTATTGTCAAGATATCAAAGGTGTAATACCAACAAATTATAGTATGTCAAATCTGTTTTAAGATGTATTAAATGAAATTATGAAAAGAAAAGTGTTTTTTTCTGGAAAATTTTCTAATGCAATTAAACTGAAAATGCAGAAAGTGCTCAAAATAATGAAAACTAAATGGCTGACAGGAACAATGATCATACTTAAACTAATAAACTTTTTTTTTGTAACATATTTTTAAATGCAAAAAATGTACTGAAATTCAGCAATATAAAATGAATCAATAAAGCAAATAAAATGTACCTTCTCTAATTAAAAAACAGGGCAGTTAATTTAGTTTAACAGGGAATAAATTGGATCTATAGAGACTAACAATAAAAAGTAAAGGAAAACATTGGTGACATCAACAATCATTTAACAGAATGTTAGTTCAAACAACTTTTTGTCTATATCTAAGGTTAAGTAACACTATCAAGAATCCATACCAACTTCAATGTTCTAAAATCTGATTACAGATAAAAAAAATCACTCCCATCAACTTTGTTCAGCTTTTACTATCATCTATTGCAATTTTTGGTAAAATAAACTCCCCATACTATGTTTCAAATGTGTTATCAAAATATAATATTGTCATCATATTTCATTAGAAGCTGATTTTGTAATTGATGGATCCAAAATTTCCACATGCTCAAATCTTGCAACAAAATGCAAAGCTATACCCTTTAGTATGGCATGGACATTGTTGTGTACACTTTAGTAACATATATTGTATTCATTATTTTAATCTTTTTCTGCCACTAACAAAAATCTTTTTATGAACACCATAAAACACACACACTCATGTTAATGAAATTGATATATCTTTGAAAAAGCATGAAAATTTTACATTTTTTTCAAACAGACGACAGATTTAAAATATCGGTCAGAGTGGATTCTATTAAGTGAGAAGATTTTTATAAAATAAGAAAAAAAGAAAGATTGATCATGATAACTAAATTATGTATCACATAAAACAAAATTTATTACATTAGTTGCAATTGCAAAGAAATATTATCATTTTAGCCAAATAAAAACTAATTCTTCACATGTGAATAAATCCTATATTTTCACTTATCTGGCTTCACACATATATATTTTCCGGACCATATGAGTATTTGGACCACAGGTGTATGGTCATGACCATATATGTATATCAGTATGGTCGGACTATATGAGTATATACTTGTTTGGTAATCAACGGGCCGACCATAAAAATATTTGGACAGTATAGGTATTCTTCAAATATGCATAAGATAAGAAATGTTAACCAATGACGTATGCTCATTTAATACTTTGTGTGCTTTTTGTTCAACAAGTATGTTCAGGAAACAAAACATAATTCAAACGACATAAGATGCAACGACAGCAAGTAAGAAACATAACAAACATGTATGTTTCGGACACAGATGATTTCTCAAAATACTTCACTGCAATTGCGTATATTCAAATAAAAAATAAGTTAAGATAATATGTGTAAGAATAATAATTTCTTTCGCTGCAACACACAACTTTGTTTACGAAATCAAAAACGACACAAGTTTATACTGACATACTTTTTTTTTTATCTTGGATGTTTTGTCTAATTTGGGCATGTTGGGTGAACATGTTTTCTGTCCTTCACAGTACACTAATGTCAATTAAAATCGTTTTTATCTTGTTGACCTTTTCATCCGTTATTAAAACAGTTGGCTTCTTGGTTGATTGTTAATTTATATGTTTTGATTCTACAGGACAAATCAATAATGACCATGTACAAATGTGTTCACTGTAATTCTAACTTGAGAATTTAATTAACTGGGTTTTTCACCATCGTTTTTTTTGTTATTAAATATGTACATGTAACCCTGATTACCATATGATAAGATAACTTCAAATTTTTTATGACATCTAGAAGGGTTATCCTTGTGAAATTAATAGAAGAATAGATACATATGTATTATAGCCTATGATAGAAGTAAAGGCAAACCGTTTCAATGTTCATTCTGTTAATTAATTACCCACTCTACCCATATGGTCTGGAACATATATATATATATATTTACAACATTAGGTTTTGACACAATATTGTTATTGATGTTGCATCAAAACAAAATTCGTAAGGGTTCCGCGGAACCCAGTGTCTCGCCTACTTTTTGCTGTTAATCACAGGCTCAGCAAAAATGAGGAAAAAAATTAATAAAAATATTCCTCTCTATACTATCTTTTGATTGTAAGTAGCTTCTGTCCAAGTTTGGTAAAAATCCAGGATAGTTTATGAATCTAATAAATGTTTTAAAAACTTAAACTGCAGACTGTATGTAATGTTAACTGGAAGAAAAACTAAGTCCATTTATAAGTAAAATACGGAAAAAATGGAACAAAATTTCCTTCTAGATACTAGCTTTTAATCATAAACAAGCTTCTGTCTAAGTTTGGTACAAATCCAGGATAGTTTAAGAAAGTTGTTAAAATTTTAAAAACTTTAACCACAGAGTGAATGTAATGTTAACTGGCAGAAAAACTAAGTCCATTTATAAGTAAAATACGGAAAAAATGAAATTTTTTTTTTACAAAATTTACTTCTGGATACTAGCTTTTAATCATAAACAAGCTTCTGTCCAAGTTTGGTACAAATCCAGGATAGTTTAAGAAAGTTGTTAAAATTTTAAAAACTTTAACCATAGAGTGAATGTAATGTTAACTGGCAGAAAAACTAAGTCCATTTATAAGTAAAATACGGAAAAAATGGAATTTTTTTTTTACAAAATTTACTTCTGGATACTATCTTATGATCATAAACAAGCTTCTTTCCAAGTTTGGTACAAATCCAGGATAGTTTAAGAAGGTTGTTAAAATTTTAAAAACTTTAACCACAGAGTGAATGTAATGTTAACTGGCAGAAAAACTAAGTCCATTTATAAGTAAAATACGGAAAAAATGAAATTTTTTTTTTACAAAATTTACTTCTGGATACTAGCTTTTAATCATAAACAAGCTTCTGTCCAAGTTTGGTACAAATCCAGGATAGTTTAAGAAAGTTGTTAAAATTTTAAAAACTTTAACCACAGAGTGAATGTAATGTTAACTGGCAGAAAAACTAAGTCCATTTATAAGTAAAATACGGAAAAAATGAAATTTTTTTTTTACAAAATTTACTTCTGGATACTAGCTTTTAATCATAAACAAGCTTCTGTCTAAGTTTGGTACAAATCAAGGATAGTTTAAGAAAGTTGTTAAAATTTTAAAAACTTTAACCACAGAGTGAATGTAATGTTAACTGGCAGAAAAACTAAGTCCATTTATAAGTAAAATACGGAAAAAATGGAATTTTTTTTTTACAAAATTTACTTCTGGATACTATCTTATGATCATAAACAAGCTTCTGTCCAAGTTTGGTAGCAATCCAGGATAGTTTAAGAAAGTTATTAAAATTTCAAAAACTTTAACCACAGAGTGAATATTTGTGGACGCCGCCGACGACAACGACGACGCTGACGGAATGTAGGATCGCTATGTCTCGCTTTTTCGACAAAAGTCGAAGGCTCGACAAAAATGAGAAAGCATAGAAAAAGCTTCAAGAGTTCATTGATTTTACTACTAAATTTACATTGAAAGTCAATGTAATAAAAGTATAAATAAACCAAGAATTCAAATTTTATCAACAAATATTCAACTCTTTTACCAAACAACACTAATAATTCACTCATGTGCTATACACTTTTGTGAATTAATGTTTTGTTCTGATTCTTGTCTAATACATACTTGTACTTTGGCATTCAAATTCTTAGATTATATATATTCTGTACATGTAATTACTTTAGGACATGCATGTAACTGTTAATTTCAGGATATCATACAAGGTTGGAGACTTACAGTTTGATGATGTGTGGATGTCTAAACAGCTTGAGGTTTTGTATTTCTCTTTTGATCTTAGACACAACATCTAAACTTTTTATTTTGTTTCTATTTAAAATCTTCACAGCCACCTTATGACTAGTGATATAATGTGTTGCAACTGAAACGAAAATAAAACATTTTATTAAGTGTGATACATAAAATGCTAAAACAGAAACAAACTACGTGTAATTCTGTCACAGTGTTCACACAGAAAACCTCAATGGACCATATTAGGATCATACAATGGCAGTGCCCTAACTAGAACTAATCCATTAGCCATGAACTCAAAATCAGACTGAATCACCATTATCTAGATGCATCCACTGTATTACCACACACTTTTACATGTAGTAATTCAAGGCGGGTATGATGAGCCACTGGCATTCTTGTTGAATGGGCTCAATGGAATATTTTGAGTCAATTTTAAATTTGAACCAGATGCCATAAAAATTCTGTGGACCTGTATGCTTTAATGGTGTCATAAACAGGTCAGGAATAACCACCAATTGGTGAATTATACCTCAATTGATGTATAATCCACCAATTGACATATAATGGTTAAGACCAATTGACAGGATTGACGTATAATTCTTTGTTTTTCAAAGCAAATTATTCAACCAAAATGGAGCATTGTTTTCTTAAAACCATATTATTGTATGAAAACATGTCAAACATTCCTAGTTTAGTATAGTGACATAACATATTGCATTTAATCAATAACTGTATTTGCAGATTCTTCTATTGTTATCTTGTCAATTCTTGATTGGCAAATTTACCACTAATAACTTGTCAACGGACATCAATACTGTCTGCAGTCATGTGATTATGAGTACAACTCCACAGGTGAATGGAGCTCTTTGTTAATACATGTACTTGACTTTCATTATTAAAAGTCAATCATGGTCAATAGTACAGATGTTTCAACAAAAGAATTGTTGTACACATGAATTCTTAAGAGATGCAGCAGGCTTTGACAAAACTGAAACTTTCGAAGGACTCAATAATGGTCATAAAATAGGTTGTAAGTTGCAAAATGATGCTCCTATCTCACACTAGCATTTTATAACAAAAAACTTGCATTATACGTCAATTGGTATTTACCAATATATGTCAATTGGTGGATTATAATATACGCCAATTGAGGTATAATCCACCAATTGGTGGTTATTCCTGACCTGATAAATCAATCTCATCGTAAAAAATAATCAACATCACATACTAGGCAATATTCCTTCCGTGACTGTATATCACAAAAAAAATATATAAAATCAATGAATTTGAGTGCTCAAATAGCACATTTGCAGCATACATTTTATATGTAAATAAGAATTCAGTGTACAAAATAATGGTACAATGACCTTCACCTTAAGTATGTCATATAATTTCTGAATGTTTCTATCTTTTAACGCAATGTCTGTAATAAACAAAAGACATACTTTTGACCTTTCCAAATGTTCCAGTTCCTAGTGTTTCACCAAGAATGTAATGGCCAATCTTTACTTGACCAGCCGTGGATGGACTTTTCTCCGCCATTGCAATTTTCTGGTGAAGCTGTTTCCTCAGTGGGATGAGCTGTTAATAAGATACAGATAATGCTATACAAGTGCTAGAAAAAGTCGTTTTTGTATTTGTTCAAAAGAACAACAAATAACATTTCATAATTAGCTCGATATAAGTCCTATCAGTCTTTCAGTTGGGCCCTTTCAGTTTGTCAACAATTTGTCACGTGACTTGTCAAACTTTCGGAAGTGTCTGTTTTTTTCTATAAAGTCCAATTTCCAATGTTTATTTCCGGGTAAATAGAAAGTAGAAGTAAGTGGTTCGAAGTAAGTAGTCTTCTTTTCAATCTGAAAAAAAGCAAATATCAATAAAATAATTTGACATTCTTATAATCTATCAATGCATTTGACATTGTAACAAGCTGTGGTGAAAAGCTGTACAAAAGCTTAAGTTAATATATCTGGTTCTTGGTGGATCAGCATTTGGCAAAATGCATACCACATCTCCTTATTTTTATATTGTTTACTATATCAGACATGTGCTACCTTATCTCTGAGATAACTTTAACCACGGGATTGACAACTTCACGTTATTGCCAATCAAAATCTGTTGAATTCATTGACTTCTGTTAGGTATAATAGTAATCGCAGCTTATCAGCTCCCTGCTTTAAGAAGTGATTTGATTTGCATGGTTTTTTATGCCCCCCTCGTAGCGGTGGGGGCATTAAGTTTTACCCTTGTCCGTCTGTATGTACGTACGTACGTACGTCCATCCGTACGTCCGTCCGTACGTCCCAAAATTGGTTTCCGTTCTCTAACTTGAGTTTGCCTCAACAAAATGTTATGAAACTTATACACAATGCTTATTACCTCAAAACACAGATCAATGTTGAATTTTGGTGGCGTCACTTTAACCGTTATAGAGTTATGCCCCTTTATAAATGGAAAAATTGCAAAATTTTTAGTTTCCGTTCTCTTACTTAAGTTTGCCTCAACCAAATAGTATGAAACTTATACACAATGCTTGTTACCACAAAACACAGATAAAATTTGAATTTTTGGTGGCGTCACTTTAACCGTTCTAGAGTTATGCCCCTTTATAAATGGAAAAATTGCAAAATTTTTAGTTTCAGTTCTCTAACTTAAGTTTGCCTCAACCAAATAGTTTGAAACTTATACACAATGCTTGTTACCACAAAACACAGATCAAGTTTGAATTTTGGTGGCGTCACTTTAACCGTTCTAGAGTAATGCCCCTTTATAAATGGAAAAATTGCAAAATTTTTATTTTCTTCTAAATATCAAGTTATTTTTAAAATTGGAGTTATCTTCCTTTGTCCATGATTATAGTTGAATCAACTAAAATCAATGCTTTATACAATGCAATGTTTAATTTTGACTTCCACTGATAAAACACAGATCAAGTTGAATTTGGGTAGTGTCACTTTAACCATTATTGAGTTATGCCCCTTTATAAATCGAAAAATTGCAAAATTTTTAGTTTCCATTCTGTAACTTAAGTTTGCCTCAACCAAACATTATGAAACCTATACACAATATTCATTACCACAAAACTAAGATCAAGTACAAATTTTTTGTTTCCGTTTTCTAACTTTAGTTTGCCTCAACCAAATGTTATGAAAGTTATACACAATGCTTATTACTACATAATACAGATTAAGTACGAAATTTAGTGGCGACACTTTTACCATTCTTGAGTTATGTCCCTTTATAAACATAAAAATTGCTGAATTTTTAGTTTCCGTTCTCTAACTTTATTTTACTTATCAATCGTAATGACATGTGATTTGTTAGTCCCTGAGCTTCTGCTTCACTGCAATATTGGACTTTCAAATTCTTGGATTTTCCCATATATTTCCAATGTAACGTACAGTAAGAGTCTATTGTCACGATTAATGACGTCATTTATGCAAATTTAACTGAGATATGTTGTCATTTGTTTTTAATTAGAGGGCGAAATGGAAGATAATTTGTATGCTTTAAATGTGTTTTTCTCTATAAATAAAGTCTTTACTTTCTTACAGAATTATACTTACTTACTGTACAAATGAATATTCCAAATTTGTTGGGTTTGTTTTTTTTCTGTTTGTTTTTTTTGGAGGGGTAACATATACACGTTACAAAATATGGATCAAAACACACGAAAAAACAAACATATCATGTATATAGAGTTTAAATAGATTAATCCAGAGATGTGGCAATGTCCTCTCACTCGATTTCATTTTCAAATTATTTTTTTTTCATTTTGCTTGAAACGATATATGTCATGTTTGTACCCAATTTGAATAATTCTTTTATATAAGTTTTATTCATCCTCTTGCCTACAAGACATTGGTGTAACTTATTTTCACTATTGCATTTAATGATCACAACAAAGACTTTTAGTTCATTGTAAGTAAAACATGTATATTTTTACAGATGTTTAGTAGCAAGGAGCAATTAGATAAAAGAACAGGACCTTATGGTATTGGAAGACTAAGTTATTTACAGTCTCTTGTCACAGAATATCAAGACACAAACAGCCTTGGTAGGATTCACTTACACTAGTTCAATTTATTTATATGCTTAATGTAAATTTCAAGATTTATAAGTTAACTCTGGTAGGCTTATATTCATCAGAAACAATTGTAAATAGAGGATGTGATAAAATGGCCATTAAGACAACTATCTACCAAAGGACATTAAAGTGACTATAGACACATCTACAGGTTTCTAAATGTATAGACAAGGTGAAGCAATAGGCAAAGGATCATGCTATAAGTAAACAAGTCTCACTCAAAAAGCGTGTGGAAAAATTTGCATACATATAGCTTCCACTCTTATATGACATAACTCAACAAAATTTAACCCCCTTTCCAAACAATTTTGAAATGAATGATAAAAGATTTCATGCTCTAAAATGTCTAAACTTTATAATTTTTTATGTTTCTCTAAACATTTCTTAAAAACTTGAACTTTTCTGAGTTTTCCAGGAGCCTTAACCTATATTTGGTTAAAACATATCTTTTGTAATTATCGCAAATACAAATGAAAGGAAGTATACCGGGGGTACGTCAGTAAGACAGCAACCAACAACACAGATAACCGAAAAGATATCTAGAGGTCAATATACAGCCTTCAACAATAGACAGGTGTCTATACAAATATGTAAAAACCTACGCAATGTAAATAACTCTTAGTTGCAAAGTAATTTAACAAGGACTATCAAATATCTGCCGTCAAAACCAAATTACTTGAAGGAAAAAACTTTCAGATGACTAATGACTGCCTCTGAAGAAGTTAACTCTTATAAAGCAAAACATGAGTCTTTTCACCTGAAATGACAGTTTGACTTTAGCAAAGGAGGGCAAGCAATTGACTTGAATTTCCAAATGGTTTTTGACTTTGAGCTAGTTCTTTAGAATAGATTTATTTTATTGACAGAATCAAAGCAGCAAGTGTTGGCAAACCTGGCAAACTTTGCATATGACCCAGTAAACTATGATTACTTCAGAACATTGAACATGCTGGATCTCTTTCTAGGTAATTTTTGATACAAATGCAACACTTTTTTTCCTTACAACACTTGGATTCAAATTAATTGTCACTCAGCTCTTAAATTGTAAGTACATGTAGTATTACAAATTGCTGAAGTGAATATTGTGAAGTTTTGTATGAACCAAATAAATATATGTGAATTTGGTGAAATTTGTATGTACACCAAATATGCAAAATATGGGGAAATTGTGTATGTACACCAAATATGCAAAATATTGTGAAATTTTGTATGTACACAAATATGTGAAATATGGGGAAATTTTGTATGTACACCAAATAAATAAATGTGAAATATGGTGAAATTTTGTATGTTCAGCAAATAAATTTTCTTTCATTTAAAATGTTACACCACAGTAATACACCTTATTGCTATTTAGTCCCATCTGGAAAAAAACAGTCACTTAGACAACTTCCTGTTTGGGTCAAGTGACGCAAGAACAAAGGACATCAGTAATGAGCTGAGGGTAGTAAATGTGTAGAAAGTGAACATTTTGAAATTTGTATAGTTTATGATCCAATTTTTTATTCACAAATTACAGTAAAAAAATGCTTTGTTTGAATTGTTTACAATGGTTTAAACATAACTTTTTGAAAAATTTTATGCGCAGTACACTGTTTAAACAGGGCCCCAGATAGCTTCAAGTGGTTTGAAAGAGTTGTGTAATTTTAGAACTTTTCTGGATTGGAATAAATAGTGATAGGTGTATTAGAATCAAGTCATTGCTTTTGTGTTAATTGTAAATGGAATAGTATTCATCTTTCTAATGTGTCCTGAGAAAGCATAGATAATTTGATTTAAAAATTAAAAGCAATGTCTCAAAAGTTTTAAAAATAAATGGTTTTCACTGGTTTGAAAATTTCTTAATTGGCTTGTGTCTGAATATTTTGGGAATTAGATGAAGAGACGACATAAAATATCTGAAATCTGCATACACCAAATTTCTTTGTAGAAAGAAACACAAAGAGGACAGTGATGGACATAAATATCTTTTTGTTTTGTCGTCGGGTTAAATGTAGATGTCTTTTCATTGTGTTGTTGGGTTGCTGAGTCATTGAGATATACCCCATATTTCTTTTAAATTCCTACTTACAAGAGTTCTAATTTTGGAAATGCACATAAAATTGGTAGGGTTTAACTAGAACTAAGCCTCACTCCTAATATCACGATCAGTGGGAAAATAAATGATTCCACTAAGTGTTAAATGCTATGTTTTTCTTATTGGGCTTATACTTGGTGGTTTAATTTATGCCTCTGTCTTTTAAAATTTGAAATTCCTTATTACTCTGTATCAGCCCCATCCGTCAAAATTCATAAGACTACTATCCTTTCAGTTAATTCCTAATCCTTAAAAAAAAATATAGGTAAAACACTGAAATGGAATCAATATTTATCTTAAAAAAAATATGAGATATATACATGCAGAGATGAAACAAAAATGTATCAATAGGTATGTGTTTAAATTTTTGTGAATTTTGTTTTTAGAAGATTGAGTGCAGGTGTTAATGTTTATGTTGTAGATGCTATTGAGGAAACAGATGACCAATTGGTAGAATTTGCTGTGGGAGGTATATGTAATTGCTGTTTAGGTAATTATGATAAAGTTGAGAATGGAAACAGGGAATTTGTCAAAGAGACAACAACCCGACCAAAGAACAGAAAACAGCCCAAAGCCACCAATGGGTCTTCAACACAGCGAGAAAATCGCTGACCTGGAATCGGGATTCCGCTAGCCCCTAAACAAAAATGCGTACTAGTTCAGAGAAAATGGACGTCACACTAAGCCCCGAAACATATAAATGAACCAAAATTAAAAAAACATACAAGACTAACAAAAGACGGAGGTTCCTGACTTGGGACAGGCACAAAAATGCGGCGGGGTTAAACAAGTTTTGTGAGATCCCAACCCTCTCCCTAAACCTGTAGCCAATGCAGAATAAACAAACACACAGCAATACCCACAGTAAAACTCAGTTTAAAAGAAGTCCTAGTCCGATGTTAGAATTGGTAACAGAAGAAACTAAGCAAAATGACAATGATAACATAAATTAACAAAGGACTACTAGCAGTTACTGACATGCCAGCTTCAGACCTCAATTAACTGATTGAAAGATTATGTCTTCATCATATGAAAATCAAGCACAATCCCTCCAGTTAGGGGTTTATTATCATACCATCATAAAATATACGAGAAGAACATAACCCGTATCATGCCAACAATTGGTTTTAGAATAAATGTGTTTATTTTTGATGCAAAGACCCTATGAATGAATCAATATTAATTCCAATAAATGCCATCTTTAATGAGCTGACAACAGTATCATAATTATATCCCTTCTGAATAAGTCTGTTTAAAGGTTTGGTTAGCTTTTGAGGTAAATGACGACATTTTTATGCTTTGTATAGAATATTATCATAAAAGATTGGATGTGAAATACATTTTGTACCTGAACGTATAAAATGTCTGCACGTTGATTTATATTTACGAATGATGTCCTTGTACCGATGATAAAATTAAGTAAATGTTTTGACAAGTTTGTGATATCGAAAACCCTGGTGTAATAATTTTTCAGTAATACAGCGATTTCATTCATTAAAATCAAATACGTTGTTACATACACGAGCGAATCGAACAAGTTGAGATATATAAACACCATAAGACGATGACAAGGGAACATCACCATCTAAAAATGGATAGTTAACAATAGGAAATGAAAAATCATCTCTTTTATCGTAAATTTTGGTATTAAGCTTCCCGTTAAAGATAAAGATATCAAGATCCAGGAAAGGGCAGTGTTCATTTTTAGTATTAGCTTTATTTAAAGTCAGTTCAGCAGGATAAATCTCTTTAGTGTACATATCGAAGTTGTCAATATTGAGAGCCAATATATCATCGAAATATCTAAAAGTGTTATTAAATTTTTGTATCAGATGTTGTTTCGATGGGTCGTTGCTGATTTTAGTCGTAAATTGTAATTTGTAAATAATGACCTAAAAGAGTTTGAACATATATATTCGCATTCTGACTTTTTAAATGCCCATTTAATTAGGTGTGTGAATTTTTTCTTAATGAGATTATGAGGCAAAGTGGTATAGAGGGTAAAAAAATCAAAACTTTGAACAGATTCGAAATCACCAATATGAGTATACAATTTATCAAGTACTTCCAACAAATATTTGACACTCCAAAAGTAATTAATTCCACTATTTTCAAAGGCCTTATTTGAACAATTTATTACCAGGTTTTTGATTGTACCAAGTGTACTAGTAAGTAGGATAGACAGTTTAGTAGTGGAACAATGGCTTGAAGACGAAATAAATCTGTATTTGTATTAAAGGTGTTTTGTGCAGCTTTGGAAGCCAGTACATAGTTGGAACTTTCATGTTATTCGGTGCTGCTTGTAAAGAGGTAGCTAAAAGCAGTGTTCTCCCCAGGGCCTTTTAGCATCATGGTTATATGATGCTATAATCTTAAATGTGATGCTATCTGAAGTGGTTATTATTACAGATTATGTTATGGATGTGATGCTATAATTTTTAGAAACAAGATGGTATTTCAATTTCCCCTGTTTACCAGGATGCTAAATGAAATATCTGGGGAGAACACTGGCTAAAAGTTTATGTTTGTTACAGAGGTCATTTTCCAGAAACATGGAGTCAGTCGGATTGTTGGTGAATTCGTGATTTCCTTTTGCAGAACCCCAATGTAAAATTTACGTCAAACGATAATGATGTTATTGTCAGCCTTATCAGCTAAGACAAAAACAAATTCCTTGGCGAGTTCTTTTAGCTTATGTTTGATACGAGGAATATTGCTAATATGGTTGTTGTTAGGAGTAAAATGTTCTTTAAAATGTTTAATACGAATAATTACTATGTTCATTACTGAATTAGAAAAAGAATCTAAGGATTTTTCTCCTTTTATCCATTTCGTGCAGTAAGTATGGAGTGAGTCGTGGATATTGTTATGGCACTCATTCCAATTAATAATTGACGAGGGACGATATTTAGGTTCCTTACTGAGGAATGATTTCAACTCTCGGTCATGGACAATGTTAAGGTCTCCTGTTATAACATGGGAACTGGGGCCATAAATATATTTGGAATTACTGCAATGTTATGACGTAGGTGTATTGTCACTGATATTAACATCTTTACGCACTTCGATAATTAAGTACATATTTCCGTGTAGATTTTTTATAAACATAACAAATAAGAGGGAGTTCAGTATTATCAAAATAACCAGAAATTTGTTCTTTTACGGAATGATCATTAAGAATACCAGATGCAGGGATCAGCACAGGCTATTTTATGGTACTGCTCCTTCATCCTTGAATTTTTAGCACACCCTTGGATATCCAGCTCCACTATTAACTTTCTCTGCATAAACAATCAATTTTGAGACTACTGGTACATGAGATAAGTTTGGAAAATATTTCTTAATCAGTATAATTTTGAAAATCTATTATTAAGATTTATTTTTTTGGTCATAAAATTAGGATACATTATAAATAAGAAGATGTGGTATGAGTGCCAATGAGACAACTCTCCATCCAAGTCACAACGTATAAAAAGTTAACTATTATAGGTCAAAGTACGACCTTCAAAACGGAGCCTTGGCTCACACCGAACAGCAAGCTATAAAGGGCCTCAAAATGACTAGTGTTAAACAATTCAAACAGGAAAACCAACGGTCTAATCTATATATAAAACAAGAAACGAGAAACACCTATGAACCACACCAACAAACGACAACCACTGAACAACAGGCTGCTGACATACATACATATATATATATTTGTAACAGAATTGCAATTGTATGATATTTAATAATTTGTTTCAACAGTTAAAATCATAGTAATAAGAGTAAGGACGCATAAATAGAAATATAAAAACCTCCTATTTAGATTAAGCAATGCAAACTTACATTTCAAATTTAACTGTTGAAATATATACTGATTAAGAAATATTTTCAAAATAATCTTACAAAGTATGCAAGCTTGTTGGACTAATGCATTTATGGCCCAAATTATGGGCGTATAAATTTATAACAGACTCTCAATCAATAAATCACTCTGATTCCTGCATTGACTAACCTTTTGTATTTTGTCTAATCTCAGTCATATGGTGATGGTCCAAATATGTCTGTCCGTTTGTCAGACAGTTTGAAACACATCAATACAAAGAGAACATTTGACTATTTTTTTCTACTATTGTACCACAATGACAGCATGTTCTGCCTATTGAATAACAGTAACAAATACAAAAGCTATAAACACACTTCATAATCAGTTCATAATGTAATCTATCATATGTTCCCGTTCTACAATTCTATTTTGAACATACAATTTAATTCCTCATTTACACAGCGGTGTGAGACATTTTGTTAAGCTGAAGCAATCTTGTTTAGTACCTGATTAGGTTTAAAGACAATATGGGTTTGACAAACTTTGTAATATTGATTAACTATGTTTTATATTATAGATAAAGAAAATAAGGAATATATCCTGAAGAATAATGGTGTTCAGTTGGTAATTAAATGCTTATCAAGGTAATTCTTTTAAGATATTCAAAATCAATTATGGGAATAAGATTGAGAATGGAAATGGGGAATATGTCAAAGAGACAACAACCCAACCAAAGAGCAGAAAACAGCCAAAGGCCACCAATGGGGGTTCAACATACGAGAAAATCCTGCACCCAGAGTCGGGCTTCAGCTGGCCCCTAAATAAAAATGTGTACATTTTTGTGTACTAGTACAGTGAAAATGGACGTCATACTAAACTCCAAAACATATAAATGAAAGAAATCTGAAAATAACCTTTGATCAATCCTATGAATATGAGTTAATTTCTCCTAAAGGGAGAGGAGGACAAAAAAATAACAAAAATCATACTCTTTGCAATTTTTTGTTTAATAAAAGAATAAGTACTTTTACATCAGAGATTTGTCAGACCATTTTGATCAGAATTTGGGACTCTAGTGTTTTTCAACACTCACTCTGAAGATTGTTTTCATGCTTTATTCAACCAAACTACAAAGTTCCTGATTTTGAATATTTTTGATGCAACAATAACTATGCTTTTTCACCTTTCCAAGGGAAGATAGATTTGATTTTCTTCTGAATATTATCATTTATTTTTCTTATTTTGTCACTTTTTCCCACTTAAAATTCCTGTTTTTTTGCAACATGTCTCTGGAGAACTTAGGTTAACCAAACTGAATCAAACTAAATGTGCAGATGCATTATGAGAAAATTATTTGTCAGTAAGATTAGGTCATTGTGGCTTTGACCCCAAAAATGCAATGATTATATAAAATGAATGGTAGAAAGCCAAAAATCTCAAATTGTCATTGTCTCAATACTTAATTTCACAGCAGAAACTGAAAATCTTGTACGGGGGATATTGATACCTCTATGTTGACGGCTCTAGTTTAATGGAGGAACTGGATCCCCCACCCTTCCTTTTTGAGGGGATACATTTAACCAGTTTTCTTTCTCTATGTACTGAAAATGCATGTTATATCTCACTAAACATTACACAACCAATAAATCAATCTACTAGTATGTGAAATATATGTCTGTAGACTTTACACAAACAACACTCTATCAATCAACCACTCTCTGATGTTTGGGAAAGGAGGGAAGACATTCACAATTGTTTTACATTTATAACATACTCTTTTGTTGTCCTGTAATGTCCATTTTGAACACTAATTTATAAAAATAATTATTCTTTTATTAAAGATCACATTGTTTAGTCTTATCTGAAATAAAGAATGCATTTATTAATGACATAGTTAAAAGCTGATGAAAAGATTTGAACATAAAATATTCAATTGTTTTAAATATATGTGCTGCAGTACACTTTGACATTACTTCATCACTCACACATTATACACTTTACTTTCCTTTTAGCAGTCCATTCACTTTACTTTCTTTTTGTCTGTCCAATTTCTTTAATTTCTTTTTGATAGTACAAATGAAGAAACAGTATTGTCAGCCATTACAACCCTGATGTATCTGACTACACCTAATTCTAAAACAGGTAATAAAAACTCTTCTTTTAATCATTAAAATAGTGAATAACTGACTACCCATAATTTTAAAAATAAAAAAGAAACTGCAATAGACTATTATAACATTAATGTATGTATCTTATTCTACTTGTAGACACCTTGGAAAATAGGGCATGTGAATTGGATTATCATGGTTGTATTTAAAATTTGCATTGTCAACTGAAAAAGTACATTTAGTAATTTCTAATGGTGAAAGAAGTTGGTGAACGAATTGCTTTTGAATCTGTACAATAATTTCTATACATTCAAAATGTTTTTAAAAGTTTATAGAACATAACATATCTGCAAAATCAGTAGTGGGCAGATAGACTTATATGTATAATACTGGATGTCTACACCAGATTCTATAATACTGCATGTCTACACCAGATTCTATAATACTGGATGTCTACACCAGATTCTGTAATACTGGATGTCTACACCAGAATCTATAATACTGCATGTCTACACCAGATTCTATAATACTGCATGTCTACACCAGATTCTATAACACTGGATGTCTACACTAGATTCAATAATCATAGCCTTATTACATATAATAGGACTACTGGAAGGTAGCAAAATATGTATTATATTGTTCTATATAAGATTGTGTATGGCTAGTTTCAACTGACATTCAGTTTCATACACTGGATAATTCATTCCATGTAAACGTAAGAAATGTCTTTTTATTTTTTAGAAATATGCAGTGTACCCGTTGTGGAATGTATGCTGAGATTTAGTCAAGCTTCCAACAAAAGAATTGGTAATCTAGCTGAGGTATTTTTACAGGTTGGTAAACATTTTATTCAGCTTTCTATTATAAGAGGTTTGGACCGTAGGAAGGACAAATACTCCTATTTCAGAAATAAGAAAGTAAGGGATCGAGTTGAACCATTTACAAAAGTAAAACTGCTTTCCTATGAAAATTTGGTAAATTTATGTTTTCATAAAAAATTAGCAATTCTGATAACTGTAGTTCCACAATGAAATGACATCTGTTAATTTATTCAATAGTATTGACATCTATAACTGATGATTCTTCATCATTAGAAGTATTAAATGTAAGCATTTAGAAAAAAACACATCTGCTTTTGTCTACAAGATTCATACTGAATGCAAAGGGATTCGATGGATAGAACAAAGAACAGAAAGTACACAAATGCTATTATTGAAAATCGTAAATTTCATTTCTTTCTATATTTCAACACAATTTAGTATTAAAATTTCTTTTCATTTTATAGAAAATGCATTATTTGTTAATTGTAAATTATGCTACTTGAAATTTACAGGATTATTGTACCAATCAACAAAAAAGTGAAGCTCTGAAGATACAAGCACAATTCAGTAATCAAGAAAATACAACTTGACCTTCATACCAAAAGTTCTTTGCATCAAAGTACCAAAATCAAATATGATTGAATACTGTGAAGTCAGTCAATCATTAAATCTTAAAAGTATGTAGCTGCACAGATCAAAACATTCTGTAGAGAGAAGGCTGAAAATAGTGGACATTTTGTAATGTGAAAATTTTCAATATTCCAGTGAACTGATGTGCAATATATGATTTTTATTTTAATAAATTTATGTATTTTGCCATGTTTTTATGTCTTCCAAATCTTAGATGTTTATCACAATATAACCATTCATTAAAATTTCTCAACCGCTATAGATTTGACCATTAAGATAATCAATAATTCTTTTATGGTCCACTGAAGGCAAATATAACAACTAACAGAAGTTATGATGATGCAGGCCATAAATGTGACAGTTAATATTTAAATTTCATATCAGAAGATTCATGTACGAAAATTTAGCATACACTACAATTTTAACTACCAATTATTATTTTTGATACACAATACTTTTAGTACAATCTCAACCAATAAAAGCATAGTTTGTTATAAGTGAAAAAGACAAATGACAGCAAATAATAAAATGAAAAATTTAGAAAAATTTAAATAATTTAGAGTGTTCTCCCTTTAACTATCAATTTGGTAATGATAATAATAATAAATTCTTTATTTTAGATTAAGGAATATATTTCCCTAATACATAGCTCTGATTCCTTGTCCGAATTTGTGTATACTTTTGGTCCTTTTTTATTTGATTGGCTCTTCGACATTTGTATTAAATTACGGATATTCAAATATTTTGGCCTCAATCATCACTGGAGAGACATTAAATATCAAAATGTGCATCTGGTGCATCTAAATTGGTACCATTTATGTTATTGCAGAAGTTAAACACAGTTAGTTACAACAAAGTCATCATCCTAGAGGCTGTCACACATAGATTACAATACAATCAAAAACAGATATTTACACATAGATAATTAAAATAATAGTGTAACGTCTCATTTTTTGGTAGCACATACCACGTTTTTTAAAATAACCAATTCATAACATCTAATTTAAAAACTCAACAGTGAATGAAAATTCTTAGTTTCAGGTGGAAACTGGGGAGGAGGTGGGCATTAATTTTTTTTAAAGAAATTGAATCTTTTTATCTCACAACATGACATTGAAACTTCAAATAAGTTCAAACTGGCTTTTTCCAGTATATGATGAAATATTTTTGTTCACTTTCAGAAACCAATAACAAATATTTAATTGTCATAACTACAATCCTGTCCCCTTTTCCTTGATTGTGACCTACTGAATAAGACTAATCACAGGGTTTGTACTAACATGAGCAACACAACGGGTGCCACATGTGCAGTAGGATCTGCTTACCCTTCCAGAGCACCTTAGATCACCCCTGGTTTGGTGGGGTTATGGTTGCTCAGTCTTTGGTTTTCTATGTCGTGTTTTGTGTACTGTTTGTCTTTTTCTTTTTCAGCCATGACGCTGTCAGTTTTTTTTCGACCTTTGGGTTTGAATGTCCCTTTGGTATCTTTCGCCTCTCTTTTACTGTCAAGATATTATGAATAAACATAGAAAGACAGACACACTATAAAATATCAATTGAAATGGTTTAAATCAATCAAAAGACATAACACCAGTGAACATATACTGAACAAATAAATTTGATCTATGATACAATGTAAATACAAAATAAATATGTTTGTTTAGAAGCGTACCAATCTTCAAAGATCTAGGGCAATTTAGAGCTTGACATATTGTATAGAAACCTGCCTATTGTTGAAGACTTAGCTTAATGCTGACCTGCAGTTTGCAGACAACTTTATTTATCAAGCGAATCTGGGTTGCTGTCTCATTGTTGAATACGCCACATCTATTTATATTGATATCCCTTGTATACCTGAGTCTTGTAATCCCTCATATAGATTAAAAGATGTAGAAAAGTCGATTGTAATCCCTCATATAGATTAATAAAAGATGCAGAAAAGATCACTATAGAATAAAGAATATAAAAGAAATGCATACAATTTGCAATAAATTTTAAGAAAAAAGAGATGTGGGTCTACTCAATTAGACAGAAACCCACCATCATAATTCTGTCTAAATTTGTCTAGAAGCTGGCTTAGTAATTAAAGTATTAAAAAAACAGATATTGCTCCATCATCTCTCTTATTATACATGTGCTCAGTGATTCATTGATGATAGTTAACCAAGGTAAAATTCGGGACTAGAACCGAAAGTTAATTAGCAGTCAAAGTATTCAATCAGCAATCATGGTAGAACATTTTATAGAACGCATTATATATTTGTAAAATAAATGTAAAAGAATTTGCACAGAAGACTTAGTTTAGTATATAAACATGCAGATAATACATAAAATAACACCATTACAAACCTAATCCCAATTTTATATTCTATTTTTAGAAATTTACCTGTGACGTCACTTTTTGTGGCGTTGATACATTCGTGTGACGCACAGTTCATAATTCTATTGTGGTGTACTTGTGTACTGTCGTAAATTAATGGAGGTTTGTCCGTTTTATTCTGTTGTTTACATGTTGTAATGTTATATTATATTATTTATGTATGTATTTCTCTGTCCTGAGTGTTCTTGCGTTTATTTGTTCTGTATTCCTGGCACGTAATGTTGTCATTTTAGCGGTATTTTTTAACATTGCCATATAAGCGGGAGGTTAGGCTACCCATAAAACCAGGTTCAACCCACCATTTTTTCTTAAAATGTTCTGTACCAAGTTAGGAATATGGCAGTTGTTATCAAATAGTCCGTTTCTAAGTATGTTTGTTTTTGTAGCAGTTCAGTGTTTTTGTTGTTCCGTTGTTTTCCTCTTATAGTTGATCTGTTTCCCTCGGTTTTGGTTTGTGACCCGATTTTTTTTCGCTCAATCGATTTATGACTATTGAACAGCGGTATACTACTGTTGCCTTTATTGCTTCAAACATTTCTTTAATATTATGAATACGAAAAATCTCGTTTCATAAATTTAAATTTTTTTAATGGACAATTTTTATTTTAAGTTTCTATGATTAATATTTTTAAAAACCTTCCCACACCCCAAGTCAGCATGTCCTTGTTTCTTTATGCTTATTTATTATCCCATCTCCTTTTCTCATACATACCATTTTGATAAAATGTCTGTTTTGTTATCATTCATATGTCTGTCTTAACTTGTTCTATGTCGATGAATAAAAGAAATAAAAAAAATTTGCCAATGAATTTGTATATCATTACTTTTATTCTCAAAATATACTTTCGTATATTGAATTGCTTGTTTTATTATATAATGCCTTTCATGATAAACAGTTGATGGATTTGCTATGGTTTGTATTGTTTAAAATTTATAAAAGTATGTAGAGAAATGATATAAAATACTTTTGGCGTTGTTCAAAGTCATATGATACTTAAAGTTAAAAAAAAAGATGAAGATGTTTTATTACTTGAATGGCTAAGTTTTACTATAAAACAAGTTCACGTGGACTTTTTTGTAAAATAAAAGCCTTTATCTTCAGAAATGCATTGCTATTAAATTATTGTCTTCCTGTACTCTAATTTGATAATAAGATATTTTCTCGTATGCAGTGATCTTAACTACGAGACCTCTCGTTAGAATTTCGGCTACCGCACAGCAAGTGCAAGGGAAAACCGTGATGAAAGAATGTAAACAAACGTGCACTGGAAGGTATATAGTACCGGTAATAACTGATTCTTAAAGAACTGATTTAATATACCAAATCATTAACAACTGTTATGAAAAAGTTAAATTAGCAATTCTAATGCAATCCGTTTAGAACGAATAGTTCCATTGGACGTCGACAAATATTTTGAAGGGTTAGATTCCACGTTCTACCAGTCCGTAACTAAGGAAAGCCACCATTTTGAATTTCAATATTTTTTATGTAATTTCTCAAAACATAAACAAAAAAGTAACATCTTGTGCCTCAAAATCTTCTCTTTGTCAATATTTAAACCATTCAGAAGCGTACGAAAAGTATATATACTTCCAGTGTTTATGTTTGACATCTGGAGTATATATACATTTATGATGTCATATTGATTAGATGCCAAAAGACGATGTAACAGTTTTGCGGACTTTTTCATTTATGGCATTTTTAAGTCAAAACATTTACTAAAATGGAATTTATTTTGATATGTAGCATGACAATGGAGATAACTGTATTGTATTTTAAGCTTGGCCTTCGTAAACTTAACTTTACTGTCGCAAATATCCGTTGCGTCGCTAGGTAAACCCAATTTGCGACAATAAAATCTACGTTATCGCTAGGACAATCTTTAAATACAAAACAGTTATCTCCTAAATGGGAACGCATGGGAAATATACAAAAAAGTTAACACCGCTCTATCAACTCACTTATTATTCACGTGCTCTACGATTTTGTGCTGATTGTTTTTCAATGTTACGATCCGTTAAACGTCGACAACAAACTAATCACTGAATTAAATATTATTTGTCGATAATACGTTATAGATTCGTAATAAATGTAAAACACGTGCATCATGTATATAGAGAAATTAGTTTAGTATATAATAGAAAAACAATATATGCATGCATTGGTTCAATAATTTCCTTACATGAAACACGTTTCATATATGACCTTAAGAAAAGTTTTAGTCTTTTTAAAATATATTTTATTGATTATAAATTCTCCAATATTTGATTTAAGAAACTTATCCCGCGAATTCGCGAACTAATGATATTTGAGACCCTGTTTGACAAGATTAACGAAATTCATTCGAGTAATCTAATACAACAAGTCGAGCAATTTGAAAATGTTTTATACTCATGTACGCCTTACGCTATAGGTTGACCGTTCCCGTATGCATGTGATAATGACTTTCTGGAAATAAGAAATACTACTAAGATTAGCAATCCCTTTCTACGAAGAGAAAGGATGAGTTTCTATCGTTATTGATTGACAAATGAATAATGAATCGGCGCGTGTAAATGAGGGATTTTTTTTAATTAAAGAAGAAACCACAAATACAAGGTCATGTTAGTCTTTATAGGGTCTAACTACCGAACATGTAAATTAACATGTGTTAAGTTTTAAAATGATCATAATTCATATGTCGAAAACTTTAAACCATATGCGATGACGAAAAAGCACATTTGTTTATGTTTTGATATTGTAGTGTTACAAAGAACTTACAAAAAAACCACAAAAGTAATAAAACTTCATTTCTTAAACGGAAGA